GTTGTCTGGTGTGGGTCAAAGTTCAGCAGCAGGTGCACACACACACACACACACGCATGCACGCACGCACGCACACACACACACACACACACACACACACACACACACACACACACACACACACACAAAGGACTGACAGGCTAACGGCTAGTCCTGGCGTGTTCCCAGACCTTCATGTGAAGTGATTTAGTAAACATTTGCACTAACATTAGACAAAGTTTACATGATTGTTTACGTGGGATTCTGCAGGTATTTATACGCCTAAAGCAGCTAAATGTTTCAGCGTTGGTTTTATAAAAGTTTGAAAGTATTAATGAAACATATCTGCAGCTTTTGTGGTGGACAGATGGGTCTAAAACTAAATCCATGTTTATCTTCAGCATGTCCAGAATAAAGAATCAGAAAATGTCCTCTGGTGTTTATCGTCATGTCTCAGAGCAGATGGGCTCACGAACGTCTGACTTCAGGATCGATGAGAAACAAGCTGCAGCCGCCGCCGTGCTTCATGCATAAAATCCAGTTTCCTCTGACCTCCGCTGTGCTGCAACAATTCCCTTCATCCACGTTTTTTGTCTATTTTGTTGCTTTATTCTGTCTCACCTAAGCTTTAGGTTCTGAACCCAGCTGTTTCTCTTTTCTGATCAAAGGTTCAGATGAACAGAAACCTGCAGTGGATCAGGAACTCACCGGAACCAGCTGATGTTTACAAAACACAAAACCAACGATGAGCAATGAGCAGCGTTCAGGGCTCAGAAACGCCACGCAGACTGTTGCTCCTCATCATCTCTGACAGCATCACATGAAAACACAGATTTTGTCTCCATTTGCATTTGAAACTAAAACATGAGACGTTTTAGTTTTTTTTTTCTTTAGTAGCTTCTTCAAGGAGGATTAACATTTCATTTCTGTGGATCTGTGAAACGTTTTTGGAGCTGGAGGCAAATTCTGATCCATCACAGACAAAACAGCTGGAAATAAATTGGCTCTGATTATTTATGGGCTCAGTATGAAAAATGATCAAATCAAATAACTGCAGATGATCCCATCTCTGTCCCTGACCCCAAGCCTGGGGCAGCATGACATAATGTACATGATTCATTTTAAATATGTAATAATAATATTCATGATAATCAATAACAACAACAATAATAACAACAATAATAATAATAACAATAATAACACTAATATTAATGACATCTAAAACAACAACAACAATAATAATAATAACAATAACAGTAATAATAATAACAACAGTAATAATAATAACATCAACAACAACAATAATAACAACAACACTAATAATAATAACAACAACAACAACAATAATAATAACACTAATAATAATGACATCAATAACAACAACAAAAACAATAATAATAATAACAATAACAGTAATAATAATAATAATAATAACAGCAGTAATAATACTAATAACATCAACAACAATAATAATAATAAAAACAACAACACTAATTATAATAACAACAACAACAACAATAATAATAACACTAATAATAATGACATCAATAACAACAACAACATCAACAATAATAATAATAACAACAACAACAATAATAATAATAATAAAAACAACAACACTAATTATAATAACAACAACAACAATAATAATAATAATAATAATAACACTAATAATAACAACAACAACAACAATAATAACAACAATAATAATAATAACAACAATAACAGTAATAATAATAATAACAACAGTAATAATAATAACATCAACACAACAACATAACACAAGCCTGAAAGTGCTCCACCATGTTGTGCAGTCGCTAATGCTAACGTTAGCTTCTCCTTGCCGAGATGCTTTCCTTCCTGTGGGCGGTCCCAAGCCAAAGTGGGTGGGGCCCTGAAGACTAATTTTCCCTGTGTGCAGAAGAGACTGGCTTTGTCTGACCTGATCCTTTCCCTGTCTGTTTCCTTTCCTCTATAATTCAGGCGATGGGGCTGGAGAACGGTTTCAGGTTCAACATGAACCGACCGTATTTCTAAATAATCAGGTGTTCTGGGGTCCCATCAGAACCAGACCTTCACAGAGTTACAGTTCTGCTCCTCAGCTTTGAGGGATCTTGTGTTCTGGTGATGGTCATACCTCCCAGGCCGGGCCTCAGTCTGATGTCGTACCCGTCCAGAAGACTGTCGAGGATCTTGGTGAACGTTGCAATGTCCTTAGGGTTCTGTGTTTTATTAGAGTCTGCTCTTGACCTGGATGAAAGCAAACGAGATTAGAATCTGAAACAAAAGAAGCTTTTCCACATAACTGTGGGTGATGGACCATCCTGGTGACCTCCACCCACCATCTGAACTTCCTATAAACCAAAGCTTCAGAGGATCTGGGACTATGTTTCTCATCTGGTCTGGGAACACCAAGGATTCCACTGGAGGAGCTGGCCCAAGTGGCTTGGGAAAGGGAAGTCTGGTCTTAGACTGCTGCCCCCGTGACCCGACCACAAAAAAGATGGATGGATGCTTAGATTTGATTCCTCGGCACAAAATCATGTGTCCACCTGTTTTTCTTGATTTTCCTTTCAGACTCGACTTTCAGCAACAAAATATTCAGAAATATGTCTAAAAGGGGAACTTCTAATCAATAACTTCCAACTTCTAATCCCTCCTCTTCCTGAATTATTCTCCCAGTCCAGGTCAAAGGTCACACATGACGCCATCTAAAGGGAGCTGAGATGTTTACAGTATTTAAATCATTTTAAGTTTTAACAAAATTATTTGTTTCCAGATCAATGAGCTGTTTATCTGCACGAGAACATCGCCATTAGAAATGAGATAAGAGAACCAAAAATCATGTTTTTTTTAATTAAAAATGAATTTAATTGAATTTAAATATAAAACATACATCAAGATTTGTAAAATAAAAATTGTTTATGATGAAATTTAGGTTTAATAAAATCATGAATGAATGAAATTAAAACTAATATTGAGATTGAGCCCCGCCCCCCTGGTGGACCACTGTGCCACCATAAAAAGCATCTAAGTCCGCCTCTGCTAAATAAACCCGAAGAGTTCGTATCAGAACCGGACTGGTTCCTGATTCTACTCTGGGTGTTCTAATAGATTATTAGTTCTGATTGGTCAGGTTTGAGTTGCGCTCTGAGCGCGCGAGACGGACCGCTCAGTTCTGTAGAACCGGAACTTACCGTGTGTGCCACAGAGCGAAGAACCAGACCAACACCGACAGAGGACGGGACTTCTTCAGTGCCCCCATGGCTGAAGCCTGGAAACCAGACGGAAGCCTTCAGAGTCCCGCAAAGTGACCCAAACCCGCACAAATCTCCTTCCACCGCAGCCTCCGAGACCTGAACAGGTACGCCAGCTGTTGCCAGAGACGGAGGACAGGATGGAGGAGCGGGTGGGCGGAGGCGGTCAGTGCGCGTCGATCAGGTCGGATTGTCCTCCGACAACAAGCCGCACATCCGTCCACACCAGCCTGAGTGCGAGAAGTGCGCAGAGAGCGGCTCCGCTGGGGCGCAGCGCAAAGTGAGGCGGGCTGGGGGGGGGGGGGGGATGCGACCAGCGCGCGCACATTCAGAGTGAAGAGTCAGACAGATGAATTGATTATCTGTTAATAAACACGGGTTATAATCTAATTATTGATTCAAAGAATTGACTTGCTTTACTACCCCCCCCCCCCCCCCCATTAAATCACTAATTACAGTAAATACAAATGTAAACAACACGGAAGTGAATCTATAATAAAAACATAATTATGAGTTTGTTTCCTGGATCTATAAAGTCTTTCTGAATCCTGTTTTGGTTTGGTAGCATGAATCCAGGAACGGGTTCAGATGGACCTCTGGAGGCTTTCATCCGAACCCAGCGAGCCCAGAGCCGTGGAACCAGGTTCTCCTCAGGTCTGCTGCAGGAACACAACAATCCTCCACTATCAGAGGGAAAAGGTGAACCTGGAAAAGGTCAAATCTAAATGACGTCAGCTCTGGATCTCTGGCATTTAACAAAAGATCCAGCTTTGGTCGGCTTCCGGAGAAACGGGATCAGCTGGAAAAGAAAAAAACAAGCAGGTTTACTTCCTGTGTCATCCAGCTCCTGCTGGAGACCTGCAGCAGGGGGTCAGATTGATGCGGATTCATTGTTTCTGTCTGATTGGTGTTCAGACAAACCAAAGCAGGTTGTCGTGACACCTGCATCAGAAACACGTAATACTCCTGTTTTGTTCCGAGTCACGCGCTCTTCCTTCATGTTACAGTGTTGGATGGTCTCGATGTTCCCCGGATGTCTTCTCCTCTGCAGCTGAAGCTCATCGTGTTTCAGCACAAGGAGACGTCCGAGTCTGCTGCCAACAAGCACCTGTTCTTCTAAACCACCTGCTTATGATGTCACCATCGCATGAAAACGTGGAGTTTGGACTTGAGGTCAAATCCAGCATGACCTCAAAAAGCATCCCCGGTGGTGTCACAGACACTCGTCTCAAGAGATGTTCTGATCCGGACGCCTCCTCCAGCTACCCCAGGGATTATTTATCCGTTCTGGTCTGAACACCTTGGAAGCTTTAAACCCTTTAACCTTTTCTCCAAATCAAACTGTTTTCTTTTTCCTGTTGGGTCTGCTTTCAGCATCTGGTTGTCATAGCAACCACCATCAGTGGGGACTTGAATTTTTTAAAAATGAAACAGAATCCCAAAGCTATCCTGAACAAGACTCAGTGGTTCTACTGAAAAGTGTTCCTAAAATGCTTTTACTGGACCTGTGACCGCTGACCTTTTGGGGGTCAGAGGTCACAGGTTGATGTCACCAGACACGAAAACAGGACAGAAAAGAACATTCTGGTGTCTGAGCATGTCAGAGTCCTGTGACCCAAACTCTGACATGGTTCTGATCCACGTAAAATCTCAGCCGTCTAGATGTGTCCCAGAAGATCCCATCCACGGAAACAGGATCAGGAATCTGGAGACCAGCGAGCACCTCCATGTTTACTGGAGTGTGATGGTCCAGGAACGCTGCGTCCGTGGTCGGGATTCTGGGATTTCTCCCTAGCAGGTGGGTCAGCTGGGAAATAAAACCAGATCATAAAGCATAAAAGTTCATGAAGTCCAGAAAGTTCTGGTTCCTGCAGGAGGAAAGCGTGAGTGAAGAGCGCCACCATGTGGTCAGACACGGACCTTGCAGAAAACCTAAAACTAGAAAAATGATGAAACACAAACAAAACCTTAAGTTTATGTATTATTATGAACAGGTGTGAGATCCGGGTTCTGGATGGTTCTGTCTTTTGTTGGCGCGTCTAGGGTTCGACGTCTGAAGCGTCTTCACTTTGGCCTTTCTCACTAAAATCACATAAATACTAAGCTGCACTGAGGAGCTGTCGAGCATCAACAGATGTTTTCATTTGAAATGAAGAACTTGTATTAAAATGACGTAAAAGGTTCATGTGGCTGATCATCTCAGAGCTCGTTTGTTCTGAATTTAATCACAAGTCGCCTCCTCAACGAGTCACGTTCACAACCATCGTTAGGATTTCTATTTGGCCTCTTGCTAACTCTCCTGGTCACGTGGCCGGCGTTTAGTGGCAGAGCAGTTGCCATGGAGACCAGGAACACAGAGAGTCAGGAGATGCTTGACTTTCATCACATCACGTCTCGTTTTCATCTCCCGTCCAAACAAATGGCTGAAGAATCAAAACCAAACGAGGAGTTTTCAGATTTTCAGAAGGTTTAGGTCTCACCTGATGCCAGCAGCTCAGCTGATGTTCAAACACCAAAAACTAAACTAACAAGCATTTAACAAACCAGCTGCTGCTTTGGCTGCAGCCGCGGCGGACAGGGCGGGTGAACGAGCTTCCAAGCTGGTTTCTGAAGCCGGGCTGTTGCTAACATCTGATGTGACTTTACCCTGTAACCTGCACTCCTCCGCTGGTTTTGTCTGTTTCTACTTTATGCACCTTGGTGGCATGGCTCTGTCTGTAAGGAGCTGCAGAATGAAAGGGTGAGTTAGGCTGGAACAGGCTTTTCACATCTGGGGGGTTTCTAGAGGCAGCACAGAAGAATGAAAAAGACTATTTTAGCATAAAAAGTCCTCCTGAAAGTATCGTCTCTCATGGAAACGCAGCTTCTTCCTCCTCAGCTGTTTATCACTTAGTCGATCCACACCTGGACCTCAAAATAAACCAGGCCCGTTAGGCTGAGAGCAGCTCACCAAAGTTAATCTTAGTGCTTAAATACCGATAATGAGTTTTGGTACCAGATCAGCTCCAAATCCCACAGAAGATGAGCAGACTTGTGAGTTCCTGCAGATAAAATCCGACCAGATGTTGCCCAAACTTAACTACAGATGTTTATTTAGTCTGTCTGGCTGCTGCAAGCGTAATGACGTCCGACCACCACCAGGGGGCGACAAAGACAATGGTGTCAGGTCAGAAATGAGTCCTGGTCAGGATCTGGCTGATCCTCCCTGGAACTGTCCTGGAAAAGTTAAGGAATCCAGGGATTCTAGCCGGAAATCACTCAACTCCTCATTTACACATAAAAATGTTTATTTTAATGTTTCATTTGTTTTGTTTAAACCAGCCGGTCCGGGAGCAGAAACACGTCCGCTGCAGTTTGCTGCAAATCAACCCAAGAGGTTTCATTCATTCATTCATTCATTCATTCATTCATTCATTCATTCGTTCATTCGTTCGTTCATTCATTCGTTCGTTCATTCATTCATTCATTTCTGGGTAACTTTTCTCAGGATTAGATGTAGAAACACAAACACAAGTCACAGAAATACACAAGAACCAAAGCAGGAACTCTTCATAACCAGGACCTTCATAACTGCAAACGTTTCAGCCTAACTGGATGTTTCAGGATTTTTTTGTTTGAGTGAGGAAGATGAGCAGGAGGAGAGGCAGATGGAGGGAACGCAGGCGCAGAAGGAGGCGAGGGATGATGTTAGCAGAGGAGGCGCAGCAGCTGAGGGTGACACCTCGGGGTGAGGCTTTGGGTGACATGGGTGAGAACCAGTGAAGCCCAAAGAGAAACCAGAAAATAAAAATCCTTTTTTGTTTGGTTTGTTTCTGTTCAGCTGCTCCCAGCAGAAGGAGGAGGAGGGCCACGTCTAAACCCTTCATAACTCCTCATGATCTGCTCATCTTCCTTCTGATCCCTTCATTGCTTGGGCTCCATCTGATGGACTCTGCAGCCTGACCTCTTTGTGAAGCTCCATTCTTCATCAGAGTGCTACTGCTACCTCAGATCGAAGTCAGAGCAGGTTCTTCTCAGAGCTTCCAGAACCAAAGCAGACTCAGCTTCACTCAGGCTGCAGGCAGCCTCCAGGGACCAGCTTCAACTAAGTAATAGTCGAGTGTGTGTGCGTGTGTGTGTGTGTGCGCGCGCGTGTGTGCGTGCGTGCGTGCCTGTGTGTGGGAGGGGGATGGTCCCTTAAGTCATTCCCAACCATTTTTCCTGCACCCCCCCCCCCCCCGGCCGTGTCCCCCGCGCGCCCCACCCACTGCTCCGGGTTCATCAGGACCCTCCTGGTCACTTCCTCCAGGTGTGGACCTGGTTTCTGTTGGGATGAATGATTTCACTTCTCTGAAGTAACGTTTAACTCGTTATAAGAAACTCTGAGAGTGATGTCGCTCATGCCCCCCACCCGTTTAGATGTCTTTGCGCCTGCGCATCGCAGGTGCTGACGGGTGTTTGGGTTCTGTCGGACAGCACGTGCAGCCTCCCTGCCTTCTGCCGGTGATTCTTCCGGACTCATTCGGGTGTTTAGATCTCGTCTCCGCGCGTTTCTTCGCCACGGCTCCGGTTTCAGATGCTGTGCACGCTGCTGAGCGCACGCGCATGCGTTGCTTGTGTACTAATTCTGCAGCCTTAGTTGGACCCGCGAGGAGCCTGGGAGGAAGTCGTCTGCAGGAGCAGAGTTGTGAGGATGAGGATTCTGCTGGAGCGAGGATGCTGCTGCGTCTGCAGCCTGTCGCTGCTGCTCTCTGTGGCTTACGGGGCGCAAAAGTGAGTTCTGACTCAGCCGGCCCGGTTCTGATCCAGACCGGCTCGCATCTAACTCCTGTTTCTGCTCCTTCAGCGCAAACGAACCCAGCAACATGTCCTACGTGAAGGCCACGGTGGATAAGTTACTGAAGGGCTATGACATCCGGCTGCGGCCTGACTTCGGAGGTACACGCGCCGGCCGCTGCCACGTGACGCCCCGCTTCACGGGCTCCGCGGTGCGCTGCGCACTAACGCTCTGCTGTCCCCACAGGCGCTCCCGTGGACGTGGGCATGAGCATAGACATCGCTAGTATTGACATGGTGTCTGAAGTCAACATGGTAAGTTTTCTTCTCCCTCTGCGTGTGACGTCACGACACGTTACGCCGTCGAGTTAGTTTTGCCCTTTTTGGATGCAGAAGGTGCGAATTTGTTGGTTTGGTGCAGAGCTGCGCCCACCCCCCCCCAAATCCGCACGCATAACTGGGCGGGGGTGCTTAGCAACTAAACGCACAATCTGCGGGCCCAGCACATGCACACATCCCGGTGACAGCGAGGCACGCGGGACAGAGGAGGTGCGGAGCTCCGTGAGAGTTCCGGTCGGTCTGAACCCCGGTACCGGGGCAGCAGCTAATTACACAACGCCTGTCAGACAGCGCGCGTGTCTGCGGCCAGGAGATGACTTAATACGGGGCGCGTGCGTGCAGCGCTGCTGAGTGCACGGAGGATCCATCCCATAAACCCGCGCTGACAGGCAGCTGCAGCGTCACGTGATGCTGCTGGAGCGCGTGAAGAGAGGAAGACTGATGAATAATTTTTCATGTTCAAAACTGAACTTTTCTTTTTCAACTTTAGTTTTTATTCACAGAATATTTGAGTTTATGACGTTTCAAAAGTTTCTGCAGAAACTAAACTAAAGCGACCTTTAACCTGGAAACCCACGCAGGAAGACCGCAGCCGGGTTTCGAACCTGCAGGCTTCTTCCCGGTGGGCAACAGTGTTAACGCCACCTCACACCCCCAATCTGAATAAGATTTTATTATTTCAGATTCATAAACAGCAGAAACACGCAAAAGCTGCTGATTGGCTGAGAGTTGTGATGTCACTGTAACGTAGTGGTCCAACACACCTGGTTTTAATCGGCAGGTGATTATAGGCTGAGCAGGTAATTAAACAGTGGGATCAGGTGAGAAGGGAAGCAACTAAAACCTGGTAGATTATAGACCTCCAGGTCCGCCGGTTCAGGAGGTAAAAACATCATCACCGTCCTTCGGCCTGAACAGATCTGTTGGAGGTAAAACCTGAGTTTTCTCTGCCTCACTGAGCTGCTTGTGGCAGCAGCGTAGCTTCACACCTCCCTCAGAGCAGCTGGTGTGTGTGTGTGTGTGTGTGTGTGTGTGTGTGTGTGTGTGTGTGTTTCAGAGTGATTTGTGTGTCTTTGGAGTTATTATGCAGCATTCATAAAATGTGTGCTTTTATTGTGAAAGTCTTTTATTTTTATTTAGCCCTTATTTATCCAGACGAGTGGATAGAGAACTTGTTCTCATTTCCAACGAGGATCTGGCCCAGAGGCAGCAGCACAGTTAGCTTCACACCAAACAACAACAGACGAGATAAACAGTCAGACATGAAGACAAACGCCTGTTTTCATGTTTAACACGTACGAGCCGTCAGAACGGACTAAAACAGTCTTTAATACTCAGAAGAACACTGATCAGAAACTATTGATCACCATGAAATACTGCAGGTAGATAATGGGACGTAGGCAGGGAGCTTCGGTGGTCCTGCAGCTCATTCCGGTCGTTGGAAGCAGCAAACTGGAATGAGGAGCGGCCAAAGGAGGTGCGAGCTTTGGGAATAACCAGAGATGAAGTTACTGGAACGTGAACGGTGCTGGTTGTTGGAAGTGATGATGACGAGTTAGGGTAACCCTAACCCTAACCGATGTAACGTCCTGAAGGAAAGGAGGGATGGCCAGTGAACGAGTGAGTACAGATCACATGACGAGTAGTGAAAGGGGCACCAGTGACCAAACGGGGTGCTGAGTGATGAATGACATCCAGTTTATGAAGTTTTTAGAAGCGGTCCCATGAATGATGTCACCGTGATCTAAGATGGAAGGATCGAACAAGGTTTGCTTTGCAGAATGAGTAAAGGATGACCTGTTGCTATAGAAACCCAGTTCTTGTCAAGCCTGGTTCTGGTTCTGTGGGTTTTTAACACTGTTTAAATTCACGTTCACACCCACAGATCTGTGAGAGTGTGACGCCGCCAAGCCAGGCGGAATAAAATCACAGCTCAAGCCGACGAGTTTGGTCTTGAGCTGCTATGCTGCACCAAGCACGTCCGCTTTTATTTTGGTGAATGATTAAAGTTATTCTGATGCTTTAAATCTTGGTGATCGGACCGTCTCAAACTAAAATAACTTCATTTGTTTCAATCATGAATCAGTAGAAGAGAAAATAAACAATCAGCACCTGGATGGAGCTCCTCTCACCTTCAGTCATCGACCTGCTGATTCTGGACTTCCTGCTTGGTGCTTCTGACCAACCAATGAAACATCACGATAAACACGTTTGGACAGAAGGACAAAGAAGCTCCCTCCGAGTCCCCTGAGGACAATTCTCATGTAACGCTGAGACAAATCAAGCAGACCCGACTCTGTTGGACAGGTCTGGTACGATGCTGCAGATGGAGTCGACCTGGTCAGGGAGCAGGTCAGGAGGGTTTGCCAGGTCTTTGGTCTCAGTCAGCTGACAGGTGGCGCCGTCTCGGGAGCTGCGAGGAAAACAAGGCTAGGCTTCTCTCTGCTAGTGGGGATCTGAGGCATGGTGGTGGAGGGTTGATGGTTTGGGCTGGTTCTAATGGGTCTCACCAAGTCCTTCAGGCTGTTGCATCATCAGAGGAACGTTTTCTGATGAAATTTAACTTAGATGGATACTCCGCCCCTTGCCTTCGTCCCCAGAGTTAATAAGTAACCATCCCGGTTGTTCTCCTGATCAGGAGTCTTACTTCCTGATATTTGGACATCTGTCCTCTGATTGGATAACGGCAGCACAACTCCACCACTGACTCTGTTTGCGCTGCAACGTTGATGTTTTATCTTCACGAGCCTGGAGGAGTTCTGCTGTGTGGTGGTGGGGGGTTGTTATTTGACTGGATGAAACAGCCTCTGTGGACTCTGAAGCATCTTTTTAGAAGCAAACGAACGAACGAGCAACAAGGAGCTCATCAGCTGTTGATGAAAACGTTCATCAGCTTAGATCTAAACCCACACCCAGACTCGGCAGGAGCTCACGAGTCAGGCTCCCCAAGTCTGGCTGCAGACCTTCTCACATCAAACACCCCAGTCTCACCCGAGTGTTCCTGTTACGGGTTGTTGCTCCTCCCACTGATGAAGGTTAGATCCAGTAATCATCAAGTATCAGAAGAGTCCTCAGAAGGGACTGACGCTGCAGTTGGGGTCCGACTAAAGGGCGATTCCACCAGATCGTTCCCATCTGGAGCATCTTTGACCAGCTGTCCTACACCAACAGAACAAGCGGTAAACGACAGGCAGTGATCTGTGAAATGGTTGTTTCATTTCTGAACGTTCACTAAACGTAACAGATTTACTTTTTACAAACACAAATGTCCCTCAGCAGCTGTTTCACAGCTTTTCTGCAGCAACAAGTCATTATTTTAATAGCATTTGGATGCAAACGCTTCAGATGAATGTTAAGCAGATGCAGATTTCCACACGGAGCCGGAAAGCTTTGGTCCGAGTCACAGCTCTGAGTCGACTACAGCGTGGTAACTCACAGCCGCCCAGCTGGCTGACCTCCGTTCTCCGGCCGGCTTCATCTCCAGGATCAGAAATGCCCTTCATGTGATCAAACAGAACCCCATCAACCTCGTGTTTAACGTCTGTCTGTCTGCAGGCTGGAAAACACAAGTCAGAACCGTTAACTCAGACCAGAAACGCCCCTACGACAAAGCTCTGCTTTATTTGAACAGCTTTAGCCATAAATTAGGTTAATCTCAGCAGCTCCTCTAGAAATCAGGAGCTTCACGTTAGAGAAGTAACATGGAGGAACAGGGTTGTTGTTCTCACATCAGCTTCTAAACCCCAATGCAGGCGTCACTAACCTGGTCCATCGCTGGGCCGACCAATGACAGATGTGTGCTCTCTACTGCGTTCAACGGGTAGTTCTTGCATCCTTGCGTGCTCGTTGGAAACCATTTGCATTGACGGGTGATGGCCCTGTATGTTTCCACGCCTCTGCAGATGAACTGTAATCTGGGCTTTAAGCTTGGTCGGTGCCAGTTGGGGACAGCCTGCCATAGCCCGGCCAGGTTGTGTTTACACAGCTTTCTCAGGAACGCGGTGGAGGACACGGGTGGGCTCTGCTAAAGTTGTGTGGAGAAGTTCGTGGTGTTCTTTCTAATTGCAAGAAGTTGGTAAACAAAAGTGGGCATGAGCAGAGTTACTGCCCTGAGCTCCTCCACCATCCAAGAGCACCCACAGCAGAAGGTCAGAATTCACCCAGTCCGAGCTGCAGTCAGAGAAGATGTTTATCCCACTGCATCCACATGTAGGAAGCAACTGCTGGCTGATGTTCCTCATGCCAATCAGAGGCTTCCACTAGTAGATAGATGTGTGAGTTAATAACGTCAGCCAGACAATCAGTCTATAGGTGGGTGTGTATGATTGGCTCAGCACAAAACAACCCTCAGTGAAGCAGGGCAGTGCTAACTCCACGTATGCATGAGAACACGCTAACTCCACGTATGCATGAGAACACGCTAACTCCACGTATGCATGAGAACACGCTAACTCCACGTATGCATGAGAACACGCTAGCTCCACATATGCATGAGAACACGTTAACTCCACGTATGCATGAGAACACGCTAACTCCACGTATGCATGAGAACACGCTAACTCCACGTATGCATGAGAACACGCTAGCTCCACGTATGCATGAGAACACGCTAGCTCCACGTATGCATGAGAACACGCTTACTCCACGTATGCATGAGAACACGCTAACTCCACGTATGCATGAGAACACGCTAACTCCACGTATGCATGAGAACACGCTAGCTCCACGTATGCATGAGAACACGCTTACTCCACGTATGCATGAGAACACGCTAACTCCACGTATGCATGAGAACACGCTAACTCCACGTATGCATGAGAACACGCTAACTCCACGTATGCATGAGAACACGCTAACTCCACGTATGCATGAGAACACGCTAGCTCCACGTATGCATGAGAACACGCTAACTCCACGTATGCATGAGAACACGCTAACTCCACGTATGCATGAGAACACGCTAGCTCCACGTATGCATGAGAACACGCTAGCTCCACGTATGCATGAGAACACGCTAACTCCACGTATGCATGAGAACACGCTAGCTCCACGTATGCATGAGAACACGCTAGCTCCACGTATGCATGAGAACACGCTTACTCCACGTATGCATGAGAACACGCTAACTCCACGTATGCATGAGAACACGCTAACTCCACGTATGCATGAGAACACGCTAGCTCCACGTATGCATGAGAACACGCTTACTCCACGTATGCATGAGAACACGCTTACTCCACGTATGCATGAGAACACGCTAACTCCACGTATGCATGAGAACACGCTAACTCCACGTATGCATGAGAACACGCTAACTCCACGTATGCATGAGAACACGCTTACTCCACGTATGCATGAGAACACGCTTACTCCACGTATGCATGAGAACACGCCAACTCCACGTATGCATGAGAACACGCTAACTCCACGTATGCGTGAGGAGAACATACTAACGCCACACAGAAAGGCTGCAGCTGAGGTTGAAACCTAACAGATGTTTTTGACTCATGGTCCTTGAGGTCCATCCTGCAGGTTTGTGATGTTTCTCTGCTTCAGTACACCTGAACAGGTGAACAAGCTTCTCCAGGACTTGAGGAGTCTGTCGACCTCAGGACCAGGGTTCTGTTTCTCTGCTTTAGACTCACATCTGTATTAGAATGGCAATAGAACTTTCTCCTCCAGAACCAGAGTCTGAAGAAGTGCTTTTGGGAAACTGTGGACCAGACTCTAGTTCTACACTGGTGAGCTGAAGCGTCTCCAGCTGTTCTGCCCGGCAGCCCGACCAGGTAGAAGATGACAACAATCTGGAGCATGAAGAGTTCATGTTCTGGTTTGTGTTTAGAGGAGCCTTGTCGCTGTGGTTGCGTCTGTCAGAATCCAGAGTTGAAGTGATCTGTGGCTTTCTACCTGTGTCTGATGGAGCTGGTTGGCATGGAAACAGGAGGAGGGGTGCAGGTTGGCTGGGCAACAGGAAAGAAAAACCCTGGATGTTTATAGACAGCAGATCATCAGCATCGATCAGAGAATCTCTGCAGGTTTTGTTGAGTATAGTTCTGATTTTTTTATTTAATCTGAGTCGAGACAAACGTGGAAACATCAGTAGAGAAATGGACGTTTGAGTCCGAATGGTGACATCAGATTAGATCCCCTGATGGACCCAACAGAACTTCCTTCAGCAGCCGAAACTCCTCAGACTCTAGGAGAGCTCTTGGTGGACCCAGAGAGTTATGATGGGTCAGAACCAGCCCAAACCATCAGCCCTGCACTGCCGTGCCGACAGCTGGGATCAACTGACTTCTTACTCGACTGGACACCGGGACTAGATAGTTCTGCTCTGTGAGCATGAACTCATTTCTGCTGCTGTTTCAGCTGTTTTCAGGTCAGAGTGAGTTAGCCTCTCCTGCTTCCTCACCGCCTAATCCCTTCTCTGGTGTCTCCTCCGGTTCACCCGGAGAACTGTGGATAAGGAGGAATTAGGTCAGGCAGCAGCGGGTCACAGCATAAGGACCGAAACCGGACTCTTCCAGGCACAGTACAACAACGCGTTGGCACACACACACACACACACACACACACGCACGCACGCACACACACACGCACGCACGCACGCACGCACGCACGCACACACACGCGCACGCACGCACACACACACACACACACACACACACAC